TGTTAAGAGATCTATATTACACCCATCCAAAGTGGAAAAGGGGAACCATATCTTGCAACTGGCCCTTTAAATTCCAAAGAATATAGAGTTTTTCTATATATTGACCAATTCTTTTCTGTCTCCATGGCTCTTTTTCTTTAAAAGCAAACAAAAGAAGAAAGACCACTTGAATGAGCTTTTGAGATGGCCGGAGTCGGCATCAACTGCAGGGCGGTGAAGTTGGTTTAGCGGATGGGCTCTGTGTAAGTGGAAACAAACCGGAGTCATGGCCGGGCAACCCCCACGATGCCGCTGTGGTTTTACATGCCATCAAGCCAGTTCTGACTCACAAGGACCTTATGCTCAACCGAAAGCAACACTGCCCACTCCCGCACCCGCCTGACAATGGTTGTGTTTGAGCCCCTTGTTGCAGTACGACACGCTGGGAAATTTACCATCACGTCAGACCTCCAGAAAGAATTCCTAGGAATTTAAAAATAGAGTGTTTGGCTCCCGTTCCTGCCTTGAAACCCTGAGAACTTGGTGATGCCCCAATTCCTTGAGAAAGCCTGTCATTGTCCTTGAAGAGGTTCTCTCTGGAGTATTTGATAGAAAACAAGCCGGGGTTTCTAAGTGAGAAGAGCAGACGGATTCCATCTCAGTGAGTCTACGATGTTCTCAGCAAAGAAGTTCATAGAATAGCGTGGGTCCCACTGGGGTGAAAAAAATGAATGCAAACCTAGTGTCTCAGCAACGGACTCTCTTCTCCCGAGAGCACCGGTGCCATTCACCATAGATCGCCTGGAGAGGTTTTCCTTCCGGATGTTTTCTTTCCTGTCCCTAAGTTGCCTTTTCAGTGAAGCACATCCACCTCCACTGCCGTCAGATGGCACTTACTGACGTCTGTGAAGCAGGTCAGTGTCTTCCTCCGACACACACCTGTCCATACCATACGCCTACTCTCCCAGGTGCCAGGAGCGGAAATCCCCTTCCGTACAAAGAACAGCTTCCACGGTCGTCCAGGCTACACTCCCGGGCCTCAGAGAAGCTACCAGAGTCCAGGCTAAAACTCCTTATCTACGGGGATGACCTAGGAGACCAAGGTGATCAAGGACAAGACAGAAAGGACCCAGAGCACGCTGCAGAAAGATGCACTCCTGTTGAGAACGAGCGAGGGGCGCCACACAGGACTTCTCTCCATGCTCAACAGCAACGGTTCTCAACCTCTGGTCGCGACCCCTTTGGGGTCGCCCAATTCATACCAGTAGCAAAATGACAGCGATGAAGTAGCAATGAAAATAATCTTATGATTGGGGGGTCACCACCACATGAGGAGCTGTATGAAAGGGTCGAGGCATGAGGAAGATTGAGAACCCCTGCTTTACAGGGTCCCAGGGCAGAAGAGGGAACTCCTGCTTTGTAAGGTCTGTCTCCGTTCACTTCTCTCCGTCGTGAAAAGGGCCTCCTCAGAGGGCCTGTCTACAACAAGGACATGCTCGTACAATGGGCTCGATGGTTCATATTTTTTGAACTTGTGTGAACTTGGCCCTTTGCCCAACTGGAGAAGGCACAAACATTCACAGAGTGATCTCTCCTGGGCCGGATCGCAAAATGCCCCCCAAATGAACCTTTCCAACCAGGATAACTTTACAACGTGTTTTTTGTTTTACGTATTTCCCTCGATTCCATGACAAATACATATTTGCCCTAAAAAAAGGACGAGGCATTTAAAATCACAAAAACACATTCAGAAGTATCTACTTTGGCCCTTTTTTCCCTTCCTAAAGCTAATTTGTTTTTGTTATTTATTCACCTAACTGCAATAATCACTGTTTTCCTGGTTTCTCTAAGCCCTGGGTAATTTAAACTGTCACGGTGCTCATGCTGACTTGTGACAGTGCTTATTACGGTTGACTAATGTACTTCATAGAAAACCTGCCCCCAGCTGCAGTTCCAGCGTGGGGTGCTAGACCCCAAGAATATCAGCCACGTAGATCTGCTCTGCTCTCGAGGCTCTGGGCAATTAAGGGGGACACTCCCTGGTACCCAGAGGAAAACACCAGCAGGGCCCTGGGACTTAGTGTGCTTCCTGGTGGCACGACCCCAACTAAACCATGATCAGAAGTGAGAGGCCCCAAGATGCATTAGCCTGCTACACCACATCTCTCCGGGGCCACTTCTCTGAGCCCACGTCCCCTGGCCTCTCCTCCAAGCTAGCGTTGATTCCACGCAGCGTGAAGGTCCGTTGCAGCGAAAGGTGCTTGTCCTCAAAGGCAGTGCTGCTGCCCGTGGGATAGTGAGTCGAGGGGATAAAAAAGCCCAGGACACCCACTGGGAGGATGTTAAAACCTGTCTCTTCCACGAGCACGGATCTTCTTCTTGGGACAACGGGAGTCCTTTCATTCTGACTTCCTCCTGCCTGCTGTCCATGGCTGCTGCATCCCTGTCGCACATGCTCTCAAAGAGCTTCCATATACCCCCTGGGAAGCTCTTCTCAGGCAGCGCACGCTTCACCGAAAACGCACCAACCTCTTATTAAATCTTCAGTCTGAGAAAACGAAATTCCAGCCCTAATGATTCGTAGGAAACCGTGTGGGGTGGAGGGAGGAGGGGGAGGAAGGGGACACGTCAGTGATGATTAAATAGTAAATAACAGGTGTTGTCCCTCCTCCGCCCTACTGAGTAAACTCTTGATCTTCTGCACGTTCTTCAAGGCCCACACGTCCTTCTTCCGGTACGTAAGCACGTCCTTACTCAGTACACTCCTCTCCTGCTGCACACGCTGTACCGGAGCGGGGTTTTATGTTGACCAGTCAACTACACTGACCAGACTGCGAACCCTTGGCAGGAAAGGGCACGGTTTTGCCAGCTCCACTTCCCCAGCCCTCTGCAGCCTGCCTGGGGCTTGGTCAGGAACCACAATGGCTTCGTGAGCTCCCTTCATCTCCCAGACTGAGTTAGCTACCTCCACCTCCTCAGTACGTTACAGACAGCACAGGCTTTGACAGTTGTACTTGCACATCATCAGAACAGGGCCCATGCCTTTAGCATCTCTACAGACCCCAGACCTAGCCCAAGACCGATGCTCAATAAATCCTTGCAGGGATAGAAATGGTAGTACAGGCACTACAAGGTTGCTGTGGGTTTTTGACACAGGGAGGGAACTGGTAGAAAGCAGGGTTATAGTAACATCTCCTCTGGGTCTCCTTAGGTGGAAAGATTAGAGGGGTGATGAGAGATGGAGGCAGTGAGTGTGAAAAAAACACTCAGGAAAAACTGTTGGGCGAATCTGGACAAGTAGCACAAAGAGCTTGATTAGGCTGCGATTCACACTGACTACCGGGGGCTCTGGGTGCTAGATCCCACTAGCCAGATGCCAACACTATCACTTAGCCCAGCTGTGTGGCGGTGGGCAAGCCCCTTAGGAGACCCACCAGACCTCCGTTTCTTTCATGCCCAGGCCAGAAGCACCGCCTTGTTATGAGCATTAAGGGAAGTGAATAACTATGGCAAACAGTCCAGTGCCTGCAACACATTCGATGCTCAGTTGATGTTCCCTTTACCATCATCTCCCTGACTGGCACCCAAGTCACCCAAGACATCTGTTCCTCTCATTTTCCTTAAACCACTTAGCCACCGGTGATGCTGGAGACCTGAAGACGCCGTGACTCTGTTTACGAGGCCAGTCTGGCTGGTGCACCTCCCTGATGCCCACAGCTCCCATCTAGATCCAGCCTCAACCCTGGGCTGGGTCCCAGACGACCTAGTCCACGGCTGACTCCTCCAGCACGGCGAGCTTGCTCCTTCTCCACTCCGCCTTCATGCAATCGTCACCCTGCAGTCCACTCTCCGTGGAGCGCCAGGCATAGGCATCTGCCAGCACCCACTGCCCCTTGTGACCCAGCTCAAACACCACAACTTTCCCGCAAGACTTTCCCTCTCCCCTCTGCGCGCCCCCCTGTCTGCCCCGCCCCACTGGCTCTCTCCTGTTCTCTCTCTTGTTACTCATGTAATAGCCCACCTCCGGTTCTCAAAATCTGCTCCATCACCTGAGATGCTGAGCTAAGGATGCTGAGGCTGGAGAGCTTCAGTTCTCTGGAAGCAGGCTGCCACCAACGACATCTTTGCAAATTCGCTAGAGGCCTGCCTGGTATGCAATTCTAGCCCCCCCCCCCCACC